TTCCAAGAGGAAACTTCCCAAAACATAGAGAGAGAAATCAGCCATTTCCAGGCCCAGGGAAATGTGCTGCTTATGGGTGATTTAAACGCCAGAACAGGAGAAGAACTAGATTTTTTAGAATCGCACGGTACCAGATTCATCACTGGCAATAACGACCTGTACCCTTCTTACCCTAGCAGGCAAAACTGCGATGAAACCGTGAACGCTCACGGACGGCAGCTCCTGCAGCTCTGCCGAGGACTGGCTCTGTACATCGTCAACGGAAGACTGCGAGGAGACTCGCTCGGCCGATACACCTACAGCTCAGCTCTTGGTAACAGCACAGTAGACTATGCCATCACAGATCTAGACCTGTCCTCTTTGAGAGCATTCACAGTCAAACCCTTAAAACCTTTCTCAGACCACAGCCAAATCATCCTCTATATAAAGCAATCTGAAACAGCACCCAAACCAATTAAGACTCCATATCAAATGAGCAAATTAATGTCTTTCAAATGGACTGAAAACAGTGGCACTAATTACAGCACTGCCATTGAATCTCCAGAAATACAATCCCTCATACATTCATTCCAAATACAGGAATACCCTAAAAATCAATTCGGCATCAATCAAGAAGTACAAGATCTAAACAACATATTCTACAAAACAGCACAAAAAAGCAATTTGTCAATTGTCAAACCAAAGAAAAAATATTTAGATACAGACAAATGGTTTGATTTGGACTGTAAGGCTCTGAGAAAAAACCTAAGAAATTTATCAAACCAAAAACACAGACAACCAGATAATCCGGACCTCCGCCTTCTTTATTGTGAGGCATTAAAACAATATAAAGCCACACTCCGGCGGAAAAAAGCACAGTTTCTGCAAAACCAGTTTGAAGAAATTGAAAAATCTATAAACTCACACAAATTTTGGGATAAATGGAAATTGTTATACAAACCAAATCGAGAAGTTCTGGCAATCCAAGATGGGGAGAAGTGGAAAAACCACTTCCAAGAATTATACAGCCCAACTGAAATTCAAAATTATAAACAAAATGAAATAATTAATAAACTAGACAATTTGGAAAGATCAATTAAAGAAAATCAAAACCCTTTAGATTTCCCCATAACAATGAAAGAATTGGAAGAAAAATTAGGAGTCCTTGAGGCCAAGAAAGCCTGTGGTGTCGACAGCATCCTGAACGAGATGCTGAAACACACAGACCGAAGCTTCAGACTGGCCATGCTAAAACTGTTCAATGATGTTCTGTGTGTAGGGTTCTTCCCTGAGATCTGGAACAAGGGCCTCATCAGCCCCATCCACAAGAACGGAGACAAATTAGACCCCAACAACTACCGAGGCATCTGTGTGAACAGTAACCTGGGGAAGGTCCTCTGCAGCGTCTTAAACTCCAGACTTTCAGACTTCCTTATGAAGCACAATGCCTTGAGTAAATGCCAAATTGGCTTTCTTCCAAAATGTCGCACATCCGACCACATTTTTACATTACAAACACTAATTGACAAATATGTACATCAAAACAAAGGACAAATTTTTGCTTGTTTCATTGATTTCAAGAAAGCATTTGATTCAATCTGGCACAAAGGATTATACCTAAAACTTATCGACAGTGGAATAGGGGGGAAATTTTATGATTTGATCAAATCGATGTACACAGCCAGCCAATGCGCTGTTAAAATTGGAAACCAAAGAACCGAGTTTTTCCCCCAGGGGCGCGGAGTGAGACAGGGCTGCAGTTTAAGCCCCACCCTCTTCAACATTTACATCAACCAATTAGCCGATACGTTAGAACATGCTCCCTTTCAAGGTCTCACTCTACACGACACCGAGATCAAGTGTCTTCTCTACGCAGACGACCTGGTCCTCCTGTCGCCCACTAAAGAGGGGCTTCAGGACAGCCTGGATCTGCTGGAGGATTACTGTCAGTCCTGGGCCCTGACCGTCAACCTCCAGAAAACTAGAGTCATGATGTTCCAGAAACGCTCCAGATCTCAGGGACCAACACACACATTCACACTATCACACAGAACCATCGAGAGCACAAAAACATACACTTACCTCGGCCTGAAAATAACTCCAACTGGCAACTTTACTTTGGCTGTGAATGAACTCAAAGAGAAAGCTCAAAGGGCTTTCTATGCCATAAAAAGATCCATCAAAATTGACATACCAATCCAAATTTGGCTCAAACTTTTCAAATCAATAATTGAACCAATTGTTTTATATGGCAGTGAAGTGTGGGGTCCTTCTATCAAATTTGATTTTTTAAATTGGGAAAAACATCCAATTGAAACTCTACATTTAGATTTCTGTAAACGAATACTCAAAGTCCAAAGGAAAACACCAAACAACGGATGCAGGGCAGAATTAGGCCAATACCCTCTCCTTCTAAACATCCAAAAAAGAGCCATCAAATTCTGGAAACACCTAAAAACAAGCGACCCCAACACATACCATTACAAAGCCCTAAAACACCAAGAGCTGAGCGTAGCGAGGAGTCCCCTGTGCCAGCGGGTGCTGAGACTGACTGGGCTCTCTCCTGCAGAGATCAGCTCGCCTCAGCACACACACACACTCACACACATTCGGCCCGCACAAATTATCACCACAGAACAAGACAAGTACATCACCCATTGGACAAACACCATTAAAAACCAACACAAACTGGAATGTTATTCGGCACTAAATCGAGAGTACACTGTTGCGAACTACCTGAGCACAGTGAGTGATGTGAGACTCAGGAGAACCCTGACGATGTACAGACTCAGCGAGCACAGCCTGGCCATAGAGACGGGCCGGCGCAGACAGACCTGGCTCTCCCGTGAGGACAGACTCTGCCCGCACTGCACCCTGGGAGTGACGGAGACCGAGCTGCACTTCCTCACGGAATGCCCAAAATATGAACATATCAGAGACCACTATTACCCCAAAATTAATCAAATATTTCCCCATTTTAACACCCGTAATCCAACCCAAAAACTCCGTTTCATTCTTGGCGAAGAAGCCAAATGCTCAAATATAGCTGCAAAATTTGTAGCATCCTGCCATATCCTGAGGGACGACCAGAGACCAGCAAACATCCAATAAACACACACACACTCACAGCCTAAGACCTACACAGTACACACACACTCACAGCCTAAGACCTACACACATGTATATGTTCAATTCCAAGTTCATTGTTCGTTTGTTTTTTGCTTGTTTTTGTTTTGTACAGAGATGTTTTCTAAATCCTTTATATTTTATTTATTAATCTTTGTTTATTTTATTATTATGGTTTTATGCTATCAGTATTATTATTTTGTGTACTAAATGTTCTAAATCATTTTCTATGTTGTTTTGATGCTTTGGCAATACAAAATGTATTTTTTTGTCATGCCAATAAAGCTTTCTGAATTGAATTGAATTGAATTGAGTGTGTGAGTGACAGAGTGAGTGTGTGAGTGTGTGAGTGTGTGAGTGTGTGAGTGAGTGAGTGAGTGAGTGAGTGTGAGTGAGAGTGTGTGACTGAGTGAGTGAGTGAGTGAGAGTGTGTGAGTGAGAGTGTGTGTGTGAGTGAGTGAGTGAGTGAGTGAGTGAGTGAGTGAGTGAGTGAGTGAGTGAGTGAGTGAGTGAGTGAGTGAGTGAGTGAGTGAGAGAGAGTGTGTGAGTGAGAGTGTGTGTGTGAGTGAGTGAGTGAGTGAGTGAGTGAGTGAGTGAGTGAGTGAGTGAGTGAGTGAGTGAGTGAGTGAGAGTGAGTGAGTGAGTGAGTGAGTGAGTGAGTGAGTGAGTGAGTGAGTGAGTGAGTGAGTGAGTGAGTGAGTGAGTGAGTGAGTGAGTGAGTGAGTGAGTGAGTGAGTGAGTGAGTGAGTGAGTGAGTGAGTGAGTGAGTGAGTGAGTGAGTGAGTGAGTGAGTGAGTGAGTGAGAGTGAGTGAGTGAGTGAGTGAGTGAGTGAGAGTGAGTGAGAGTGAGTGAGTGAGTGAGTGAGTGTGTGTGAGTGAGAGTGAGTGAGTGAGTGAAAGTGTGAGTGAGTGAGTGTGAGTGAGTGAGTGAGAGTGTGTGAGTGAGAGTGAGTGAGTGAGTGAGAGTGTGTGAGTGAGAGTGAGTGAGTGAGTGAGTGAGAGTGAGTGAGTGAGAGTGAGTGAGTGAGTGAGTGAGTGAGTGAGTGAGTGAGTGAGTGAGTGAGTGAGTGAGTGAGTGAGTGAGTGAGAGTGTGTGAGTGAGAGTGTGTGTGAGTGTGAGAGTGTGAGAGTGTGAGAGTGTGAGAGTGTGAGAGTGTGAGAGTGTGAGAGTGTGAGAGTGTGAGAGTGTGAGAGTGTGTGAGTGAGTGAGTGAGTGAGTGAGAGTGTGTGTGTGTGTGTGATGGCAATGGAAGCTTGCTGTTCGTCACTCATGATGTGTGTTGGAGAGTTACAGTAACACAGAGTTCTTCAGTTGTGCGTCTGTAACCGCTGACGTGTGTAACATGAGACGCCGTTTGCGTATTAGTGTCCAGTTTAAGTCTGAAGCATTACTGGGCTGCTTTTATTGAGTTTTTAACCTTGGCAGTACCTTGGTATTCTACCATGTAGATTTGATTACATTGATAATAATCATAAATGATCATTACGTGAGCATCAGATCATCATATTAGAGTGATTTCTGAAGGATCATGTGACACTGGAGTAATGATGCTGAAAATTCAGCTTTGATCACAGGAATAAATTACACTTTACTGTATATTCACATAGAAAACTGTTATTTTAAATTGTAATAATATTTCACAATTTTACTGTATTTTTGATCAAATAAATGCAGCCTTGATGACTGTGAGCAGAAGAGACTCGTTGAAAAACAATAAAAAAAATCTATCTTTCAACCATAAGTGCATCCAAATAAATACATTTTCATACCATGAACTAATTCAGATTAAACTTGACCTTTTGTTGTGTTTTGGGCAGTTTTAGTTTTTTACATTAATTTTATTTTTTACATTTTTTACATTACATTTTACATTAATTTTTGTTTTTATCCACAGATATGTGAGAATATTCCAGAATGTGGATCTGTCCAGTAACTTCTACTTCAGGTGAGTTGTCGTTTCAAGCCCTTTTGAAAGCGTATCTTACCCATAATGCCTTGCCCTCGCGTAAACTTCTCATATCACTGAGATAGAAGTGGCCTTACTTGTCCTTTCCCCCCTCGCTTCTTTTCATTAATCTGGCTATAACGTTTCCTGCATGAAAATGGTCTTTGATTTTAGAAAAGAAGCAGCTGAAATAGCTTTTCCTCACATATTGAATAGATGTAAGGTATTATTATTTAAAAAAAATTATGCATATTTTTTTAAATTATCTAAATTTTAAAATTAAGTTATTTTTTTCCCAACCCCCAAAGAATTTCAGACTTTAATGAGACCTTCATCTATTAATTTCTGGACGGTTAAAAAAAAAGAGAGAGGAAAAAATATATAAATATAAAATGTATATTTATTTTATCGTACATATGATTTTATATTTTATAATATATTTTATATATTATTTTATATTTATGTTTAGATTTAATTACATTTATTATATTGTATTTAGCATTTTATTTCATAATTTATTTTGTATTTTATTTTGTATTTTTAGATTTAAATTTTTATTATTATTATTTTTATTATTTTTATTGTATATACTATTTTTTTATTTATTTAATTAATTAATTAATTTATTTATTTACTAAAATATAATTAAATTAACAATTGAATTTTCAAGTCTCGAATGTCTCAAATCCGGCTATTTTGGACCTTTTTTTGTGTGTCTTTTCTTGTTATATTCCAGTTATTTGAAAACATGTTCATCAAGTCTGGAAAGAACAATATAATATCATTGATCTGCTCCAGATGACGTGACCCTTTGACCTCTGACCCTCAGTTACAGCTATGACCTGAGCCACTCGCTGCAGTGTAACGTGTCGCTGCTCCAGATGACGTGACCCTTTGACCTCTGACCATCAGTTACAGCTACGACCTGAGCCACTCGCTGCAGTGTAACGTGTCGCTGCTCCAGATGACGTGACCCTTTGACCTCTGACCTCTGACCATCAGTTACAGCTACGACCTGAGCCACTCGCTGCAGTGTAACGTGTCGCTGCTCCAGATGACGTGACCCCTTTGACCTCTGACCTTTGACCATCAGTTACAGCTACGACCTGAGCCACTCGCTGCAGTGTAACGTGTCGCTGCTCCAGATGACGTGACCCTTTGACCTCTGACCTCTGACCATCAGTTACAGCTATGACCTGAGCCACTCGCTGCAGTGTAACGTGTCGCTGCTCCAGATGACGTGACCCTTTGACCTCTGACCATCAGTTACAGCTACGACCTGAGCCACTCGCTGCAGTGTAACGTGTCGCTGCTCCAGATGACGTGACCCTTTGACCTCTGACCTCTGACCATCAGTTACAGCTATGACCTGAGCCACTTGCTGCAGTGTAACGTGTCTCTGCTGCAGATGACCTGTGACCCTTTGACCTCTGACCCTCAGTTACAGCTATGACCTGAGCCACTCGCTGCAGTGTAACGTGTCGCTGCTCCAGATGACCTGTGACCCTTTGACCTCTGACCTTTGACCATCAGTTACAGCTACGACCTGAGCCACTCGCTGCAGTGTAACGTGTCGCTGCTCCAGATGACGTGACCCTTTGACCTCTGACCTCTGACCATCAGTTACAGCTATGACCTGAGCCACTCGCTGCAGTGTAACGTGTCGCTGCTCCAGATGACCTGTGACCCTTTGACCTCTGACCTTTGACCATCAGTTACAGCTACGACCTGAGCCACTCGCTGCAGTGTAACCTGTCGCTGCTCCAGATGACCTGTGATCCTTTGACCTCTGACCCTCAGTTACAGCTATGACCTGAGCCACTCGCTGCAGTGTAACGTGTCGCTGCTCCAGATGACGTGACCCTTTGACCTCTGACCATCAGTTACAGCTACGACCTGAGCCACTCGCTGCAGTGTAACGTGTCGCTGCTCCAGATGACGTGACCCTTTGACCTCTGACCTCTGACCATCAGTTACAGCTATGACCTGAGCCACTTGCTGCAGTGTAACGTGTCTCTGCTGCAGATGACCTGTGACCCTTTGACCTCTGACCCTCAGTTACAGCTATGACCTGAGCCACTCGCTGCAGTGTAACGTGTCGCTGCTCCAGATGACCTGTGACCCTTTGACCTCTGACCTTTGACCATCAGTTACAGCTACGACCTGAGCCACTCGCTGCAGTGTAACGTGTCGCTGCTCCAGATGACGTGACCCTTTGACCTCTGACCTCTGACCATCAGTTACAGCTATGACCTGAGCCACTCGCTGCAGTGTAACGTGTCGCTGCTCCAGATGACCTGTGACCCTTTGACCTCTGACCTTTGACCATCAGTTACAGCTACGACCTGAGCCACTCGCTGCAGTGTAACCTGTCGCTGCTCCAGATGACCTGTGATCCTTTGACCTCTGACCCTCAGTTACAGCTATGACCTGAGCCACTCGCTGCAGTGTAACGTGTCGCTGCTCCAGATGACGTGACCCCTTTGACCTCTGACCTTTGACCATCAGGTACAGCTATGACCTGAGCCACTCGCTGCAGTGTAACGTGTCGCTGCTCCAGATGACCTGTGACCCTTTGACCTCTGACCCTCAGTTACAGCTACGACCTGAGCCACTCGCTGCAGTGTAACGTGTCGCTGCTCCAGATGACCTGTGACCCTTTGACCTCTGACCCTCAGTTACAGCTACGACCTGAGCCACTTGCTGCAGTGTAACGTGTCTCTGCTGCAGATGACCTGTGACCCTTTGACCTCTGACCCTCAGTTACAGCTATGACCTGAGCCACTTGCTGCAGTGTAACGTGTCTCTGCTGCAGATGACCTGTGACCCTTTGACCTCTGACCCTCAGTTACAGCTATGACCTGAGCCACTCGCTGCAGTGTAACGTGTCGCTGCTCCAGATGACCTGTTACCCTTTGACCTCTGACCCTCAGTTACAGCTATGACCTGATCCACTCGCTGCAGTGTAACGTGTCGCTGCTCCAGATGACCTGTGACCCTTTGACCTCTGACCCTCAGTTACAGCTACGACCTGAGCCACTCGCTGCAGTGTAACGTGTCGCTGCTCCAGATGACCTGTGACCCTTTGACCTCTGACCCTCAGTTACAGCTATGACCTGAGCCACTCGCTGCAGTGTAACGTGTCGCTGCTCCAGATGACCTGTGACCCTTTGACCTCTGACCCTCAGTTACAGCTACGACCTGAGCCACTCGCTGCAGTGTAACGTGTCGCTGCTCCAGATGACCTGTGACCCTTTGACCTCTGACCCTCAGTTACAGCTACGACCTGAGCCACTCGCTGCAGTGTAACGTGTCGCTGCTCCAGATGACCTGTGACCCCGGAGACACCGGTGGAAGACAGGACAGCTTCGACATATTTGAGGAGGAGGGGCTTCCCACGCAAGGTGTGTTCAGATTGCATTGCATTCTCTTTTTATATTATTTATTTTATTTAATTTTAAATATAATTTAAGTAAATGTATTAATTTAGTAGTTTTCATTTTTTAAATTATTTCTTCATTTATTTGTATTTTATTTTTTATTTTATACCCTTCTGCAAAATACAGTTTAAAATCTACATTTTAATATATTATTTTATTTTATTTCATTTTATTTTTATTTTAAACTCTTCTGCAAAATACAGTTAAAATCTACATTTTTTTTATTTTTTTTTATTTTTTTATGTCTCAAGTCTGGCTTGGTTGGGCCATTTTTGTTTATTTTCTTGTAATAAGAAAAGGACTCGAGTTATTTATCATCGTTTAATCGTCAAGCTGTTGTGTTTTGTCACAAACGGTGTTTGTTTCAGTTGTTCACGGCTTCAGTAACGAACCCTACGCTAAGTATGTGTGGAACGTCAGTCTGTTGGAGAAGGTCAAGGACATCGTGCATCCTGATTGGCTGTTGTACATCATCCACGGATTCTGTGGCCAATCCAGTATCCTCTCATAAATTGAGTGTGTGTGTGTGTGTGTTTCACTTTCTTCTATAGGGGTATATTGACTTGTGCATGAGTTGAGATGCTGTTGTCGTCACCGTGACCATCTGGCCGGGGTCTATAGTGCATACGGATGTTCTCATGGTCCTGGTTCATATAGATGAACGCCTCTAACCTCACAGTCTGTGCCCGTTTCATATTAATGCACACGCATGTGTGTTAGTAACTGTGTGTGTGTGTGTGAGAGATGATAAACATAGAACAGCGTCCATAAACTAAAGCAGGTGCGCACAGTGTATTCTGCTTTGTTGATTCATCATGGGAAATATGTAGTTTTGCAGTTGCTTTCCACACACCATGATGCAAAAAAATAATTTTCTTTGTATTTTTTATTAAATTTCCATATTATTATTTTATTTTTTGTTTTATACCCTTCTGCATAATACAGTTAAAACATACATATTAGGGATGGCCCGATACCGATACTGGCATCGGGGATCCGGCCGATACTGTCCTAATATACTCGTACTCGTACTCATAAAAATTCGCCGATACCACGCACCGATACCACGTACATTTTGCAAAACGAAACTGGCCGCCGCGAGTGCTTTGTCGAGGTGAACTGAGGCATAGGAAAGTATAATGTCGGCGGTTTGGGCTCATTTCAAGATAAGGGGTGATGACAACAGCAAGGCAGACTGTGAGTTATGTTCAGCTAAGGTGTCGAGAGGAGGGAAAGAAAGTACATCGTTTAACACCAGCAATCTAATTAAACATCTGAAGACGCATCATAGATCTGATGGCCGAGCGCGCGCGCGGGCGGTAACTCACTCTGTGTGTGCGGGTTACGGGAGAATAAAACGATTCGCGGGACTCCCGCAAACTAGAAATATCTATGAATAAAACATAAAAACTAAAAGATTTTTATTCATCTCTTGCAGAAAAGCAACAAGAACAACTACAACAAAATAGAAACGATTTACAGGCCAGAGTTTCTATTCATAACATGGTTACAGCGTTGAGCGATGTAGCCAATCACAGACATATGTGTTGATTTCTGGAACGCAATGGCCAATCAGAAGCATTTAAGATAGACTCCCCTCACCGCTCAAAACTGACTTTTTTGTTCAGTGCTGAATTCTGTATGCTGGCAAATCCTCTAATTATAACAAACAAAGTGTGGATATTATGAAAGATTGATTGTGCAGTCAGCTTCATTGATAATAACAGAGATGTGTGAGATCGCGATGAACTGTCAGCTTTTAGGATTTATTAAGGAAGCGCACTTTGCGCGCATTCAGTCATGCCAGACCATGCACGCAGTAGCCTGCTTGCTTTTATGTTAAATTAACAGTGGTTTGTGTGTTAATACATTTATTATTTTAATAATTTTTTATTTATTTTTAGACTTGTTAAAACAAGCAGAGAAGAAAATAAAAACAGTCTTCTAACCTGTGTTCTAAAATAGTCGTCTTCTTTTCTGGGAGCCTATAGTTACTTTTGCGGTAGAAATATCGGTATCGGTACTCGGTATCGGCAAGTACACAAATGTAAATACTCGTACTCGTATCGGTTTGAAAAAAATTGTATCGGGCCATCCCTAATACATATTTTATTGCCTTCTGCAAAATACAGATAAAACGTACTTATTAATGTTATTTTTTATTATATGCCCTTCAGCAAAATACAGTTAAAACATACTTATTTTTTTATATATAATTTTATTATATTTTCCCCTTCTGAAAACAGTTAACTTTTTGCTGTCTACTTTTTAATGTAATTTAATTAAACTTAATATTTTACATTTAAAAAAAAATACTTCTTCAATCTTCAAAATATAGTTATAACTTTTATTTTCTGCAGCATATAAACCCTAATTTTTAATGTAATAACAACATTTTGTTTCATTTTATTATATTTTTTTCTCTTGCTGAATACAGCTAAAACTTTTTGCTGTCTACTTTTTAATGTAATTTAATGTAATATTTTTCATTTATTTTTATTTTATTTTATAACCTTCTGCATTTTATTTTATTCCCTGCTACAAATTGCAGCAAAAACATTTTAATTATTATTTTAAATTTTTATTTGATTTTATTCCTTGATGCAAAATGCAGCAAAATTATTATTATTATTTTATTTTATTTTAAATTTTAATTTATTTTTATTTCCTGCTGCAAAATACAGCTGGTCGGATCTGGGTTAGAGGGTTAGAGGGTTAGAGGGTTAATCGGCTCTGATATTGACCTGTTATTTCTCCTGTTCCACAACCCATCCTGACATGACCTGTTTCCCCAGAGAGTTCATGAGGGTCAAAGCTGGAGAAAAAAGCTAAAGAAACACAAAGAGAGAAATACTCCCCTGGAGAAAGTCTGGCGCTGTTGATTGCTTGTGTCGTTGTAATGGTTTCTCCCACTTCCCCCTGACGAGCCCGTACCGGCGGTCAACGAGTTCATGGATGCCAGAGGCATTATAGGAGAACGATATTACATTAGATTCAATAGCCAAATCCATTTATAAGAGCAAGAAAAGCACAAACACTTGATAAATGATTATTATGGAGATGATATACAAAGGTTTGGGGTCAGAACGTTTTCTGAAAGAAAGAAATTAATACTTTTGGTATATTTAATGCATCCTTGCTGAATAAAAGTGACAGTAAAGACATTTGTTACAAAAGAGTAATGATGCTGAAAATTCAGCTTTGATCACAGGAATAAATTGTTTTACACTGGAATAATATTTCATGATTTTTACTGTATTTTTAATCAAATAAATGCAGCCTTGGTGAGCAGAAGAGGCTCTTTCAAAAACATATAAAAATATTTAACGACCCCAAACTTTTCCGTTTTTGGAAACCTGTAAGTTTTTGTTTTTTTTTTGGTAAAAAAAACTTGGTAAAAGTTTTGGCACTTGCGGTGTAAACACACACAAATATTTTTTTGAGATTTCAACCTCAAATTTGGAACACAACTTTTTTTTTTTTTT